ATGTAGTTTCAAAAGTATATATATCCGTGTATATAGAGTATTCAGATGACGAGTTCTACCGAAATTTGATGAATTCATTAAATCCTGCTTTATTAACCTTTATTGCTTGTTTTAAATTCTGAAAGTGCCTGGAAGTCACAATACTCTGTGTGATTCTTTTACCTTCGCTTCATGCTTTCCGTATCACTTAACAAAAGCTTTTCATCTCTCCTCTTTGCCATTTAATCCATTACTCCACTATTTAGTGTTCCTTTAGATGACATCACATACACCATATACTACTCACGAAATCTACCCAGTAGCACACACTATATTCATAGGCAAGAAGAAGGGGAGAGAAAACGAATGATGTATTAGAGACAAAGATGATGAGGCAGATGAACCAGTGCAGAAATGAACAACTAAGAAGGGAGCTGACTACAGCCTACGCGGCACTAAACAAAGGACTTAAGACTTCTATTCAGATCAAATGATACTTTTGCATGCACTTACAACTGAAGTAGAGTAGTTAGCAATTAAAATGGAACCCATAACACTAAATCAACCAACGAATTCCATATCCCGCAACAGATCAATGCGAATAAAGTCAGGGAAACTAAATAATCAAGGAGGTGAGACAAAGGAGGTCTCTCCGAGCTAAGGATATATTATAGTTGCGAGTACCCAGCCATTACTGTCTCCGTATAATTGTTTGCATCTGTCCCGTGGCGTGCATTTGCACACGGTGGAGATCGTCTTTCAATAGATGTTGTCATCTTGGAACACTGGCTTTGATGTCTTGGACATGTACCACGAATATCATATTATTTCTTTTAGGTTGGTCATCTCTTGGTGCTCTTAAGGTGCCAAGTTGTGTTTAAATGGTAAACAGCAAGGAATTGGATGTGAGTATGAGTCACTCTTCTCTTTAAGCTCACTGATAAATTCTAGATTTGATCATTTTTACTTGCAGATAGATAAATGGGTCCTGTTTGCTTTAGGAATATGCCTTGCCTACGAATCCTACTAAGCCTATAAACTAAAAAGAAAAGGATGACGGGGGGGGGTCTTCTCAGTTATTAACTGTCACTAAATTCAATATCAGTTAGTAATACAATACAACTCTTAGCAGGGCCCTTCCGCTTAGGTCAGTAACCACAGTGCACAATTCATCTTGGGTTTTGATCAACTCATAAAATGAATTTAGTCTATTTGTTGTCAACTGTTAACCGGTTCACTTTATTAATAAATCTTTCCGAATACAGTTTTATAACCCTAGATTACGATAATAAAGAAGGCAGAAAAGAAGACTGAGTTCAGAATATTCTTTTTGATGGCTTCCCTATCTGCTCAGCACATTTATATACACACAATATTTTAAGAATGGTTGTTATTGACAACAATGATGGAGAAGGTAAGGAAAGCATCTGTAGGAATTTCTTCTAAACAAATAATTTTGACTTCTTATGATGCATTCTAATGACTTCAGCTACTTATGTAAGAGATAAACCCCTCCGGAGAAATTGCAACTGCTCCAAATACGGTGAATAACATTAAATGCCTTTTTAACATCGAATTTATATTCCATACCTTAAAGGTGGGCTAAGAATTTACTTTGTTTGTCCCTTACTCGACTACATGGGAAGATGTACAGAAGTCCAACAATGAACATGCCTAATTGTACGCTCAATTTAACTGCCACATTAACAGTAGTCAAGCTTATATCTATACACAAAGTAGGCGAAATTACGTATTTATACTTAATTTCCTGACTTGAAATTGAAATGGCAGTGAAAGGGCAATATCCGTTGTCATTTTACTCTTAACTTCAGTAATTTTAAGAACTATTTTCAATACATCAGAGCTTTCTATATATAGAGAGATGTTAGTATTGTTTGCTCATCTCGTTTATGTCTTCTACGACGCCAAAACTGTCTACAGAAAAACGATCTAAAAAATATAATTTATTATAAATGAAAGTGATTTCTGTAGATTTTTTTCAGTTTTTTTAAGATATATATATATATATATACATTATGAAGTATTTTGAATTAATTCGGTGAAAAAGTCGTTTCATAAACATTTATGACAGCGATTAGGAAATTGACTGTTGTAGTCTCTGTCTGTTACAGTAACGCTAGAATAATGATAAATGAAACAAAATCATTAGATCTCTAAAGAAATCAGTGCACATGATTCCGACACCAGAGAACTTTGATGTAATGCAATGAAACAGAATAATTTCTTATTATTATCATCAATATTGAATAAGAAAGAATTTAAGGTATCCAAATTTTTACTTAAACTAGAAATTCGGGCGACTTCATCCTGTAATTATTTTTTTTATTTGATTTACAGCTTGATTCCACACTGTATTTTTGATACAAGTATGGAATTTTCAGCATGGATATCGGAAGCCAAAATTTTGCAGGCCAACCATAGATATCAGGTGTGCATCGGCAGGGGATCGAACCTCGGACCATGTGCATGGTCGGCGAGAGTCCTAACCACTGCGCCACCGACGCACAGTGAACATCAGACTGATTTTCAAGTGTTGGTTTTCAGTGACTTAATTGATTTGAAGTGTGATGACTCAGTGGATTCCGTCCCAGTGACTGAATAGCCAACGACCTTTCCCTTCAACCTAAAAGTCCTGGGTTTAATCCTTGGTGGGTTCATCAGTACGTACTGCTCAAGATTCCCAAACTAAAACTTTCAATATAGCCTTTGTTTGGCTTAGCCTATTTTGGAATAATGCAAACCGGTGGGTTTAAGAGTTCAGTTTGTCATTAATCAAGTGGAATTAAGTACACAGGTTTATTTCCAGATTTTGTCAGTTCCTTTCTTTCTTATATATATATATATATATATCACGAACTATTTTGAATCAATTCGGTGAAAAAGTCATTTAACAAGCATTTATGACCGCGATTAGGAAATTGACTGTTGTAGTCTCTGTCTATTACAGCAACTCTAGAATATTGGTACATAAAAAGAAATGAATATCTTCACAAGATCTCTAAAGAAATCAGTGCACATGATTCCGAGACCAGAGAACTTTGATGTAATGCAATGAAACATAATAATTTCTTATTAATATTAATACCTAGTAATAAAGAGTTTGAGATATCTACAGATTTATTATATAAGAACTGGACGTCTGAAACGCTTACTAAGATTCCTAATAAATCAGGAATTATGGTGGTATCTAAAAATTCGCTCACGGACCCAAGGTGTAGGCTAAAGGTACCTACTGAACCAATAGACAAATTAATATGTTCTACGAATTATCTTCCAATGATTGTCAGCCCGACCACGTAGGTCAGACCAGTAGATCAAGGTCAGTTAAGTTTTCGGAATCATAGTTTGAACAGTATTTATATACTGTATGGAATTTTCAAAAGAGTTTATTGCATGATATTTTCCCTCCGCATAGTATCTTGAAGTAAAATGTTAACTACCAGTATATCCCGTGAAACAATGGTCTCTGAGCCGAAGCACAAACTATTCCATTATGATACTTCTGCTTTGTCACCTTCAAGGAATCTACGATATCTAGTTGAACGTCAATTGTAAAAACTTCAGAAGTGCATTTTGAGACCCTAGGACTTAAATGAAGAACAGTTACCGCATCATTTATTGGAAGAAGTCGCCATCCGCAATCATGTCCTTCCCAAATTTAACAAGAACGTGAAAATTAGAAGCTTGTAAATATTTTAAATACTAACAAGCGTAGATAGTACCATCAGGGTTCATATCTTAATCGATTAAAACAAACCGAAAAAGAGATAACGTATGCGATAGAGAGATGAAAATTTTAGTAGCCTAAGTTCTAAGCAGGCCGCCAATATACTGAATCTTACTCCAGAAATAAACGATTGATTAAGATTTTGTTTGAAACAGATTCTTTAGGCCTTCTACATATTTACATACATACAAGGATACAGAGCCGAGGTGAAATAGCCTAACAAAACTGAGCTGGTAAATATGAACTCAAAAAGCATTAATAGCCTAATCTTTAACGTTAGAATATTTTGAAATGGTCCCTTGAATAAAGAGTAGGTGGTTCAGGGGTAGAATGCTGGCCAACCATGCATGTAGTCCGAAGTTCAAAACCCAGACGGTACACTCCTAAACCTCTCATTGTCTAATTTACCAGTCCGATAGTCGGTCGAGAAAACAGGCAAGGTTAGGTGTGTAAGGCCGGCAACATACGACATAAGAAAGACGCCAAACCTACTGAAACTCCAAGGTTTAAAGCGTGAAACTCTATGCTCAGCTAGGAATGCGAAGGAACGGAAAAAAAAACTCTATCGAATAAATGAAAAGAACTTTAAGTGGGCAAATTCAACAGATCTTAACGTTCTGCTCGGGTGTACAGATACACTATTTTCAATAGGATTACACTAGTTTTGGAATTTCAATTCTAAACGAACACTAATGATAGTAAGTTGTCAGGAGTAACACCAAATAGTTGTAGGTTTTGAGTAGGTGTAGGTCCCTCATCTCGAAAGGGTTCACATTTCTTAGAACAACATATTTAAGCGAACAATACTGGTTTCAATTAGATCGCATCAGGCCCAGAAATGCGAAAATTAATAAGCTTCCGTCGACTATTTGAGTCATTTAATACAGTGATTAATTAGCTTCATACTTATTCACTTTGTAATTACTTTTGTGAAATCCATCAAACACGTTTTTCTGTCAACCATTTTTATGAAAATGTCAGTGTATTTAAGATTTTTATATTTATTCAGATATGTATAAGTAAGCTTCTTTTATGACAAGATTTTGTAAGTGATTCGTTGTGTGTCTGATGTTTTCTGTAACAATATTAAGTAGTGGAGAGACCGAATAAATAGCGAGGAGTTAGAACCAGAGATCCCTTTGAAACAATATAGAAAGCATGATAGGAACACAAAAGAAGCTCATGCGGTAAAAAGAACTTGTGTATGTGGAGATTTCGATTTGGAATATTTTACCTAGTAAGTAATACTGCTACAAATACTACAATGTTCTACTGTAACAACAGAAGACAAGGGCCAGGCAACAGATCGTTTTATTATGAAAATCAACACGTATTTATACATATTTCAGACAACATTATTATAGACAAGCGCAGTCATCTGATTGGTTGTTTAGGTAGACAAACGCAGGCTTCTGATTGGTTGTTTCGGGATTCCTTGACAAATCGAGTTCTCTCTGCGAATCACATTTTGCCACGTTAACTTAGCTGTGATTGGTTGTTGACTCAGTCTTGTTCATATTTTCTCACGGCCCATATTAGTGACCTAGACCTTAACGTAGATTAGTGCCAACCAATCGGCTAGCAGCCTGCTCTCACCACACTCGTCCCCCCGTCAAATACGTGCGACTGAAGTCGGCTTGATCTACTTGGTGCAGGCGTCATCGTTGGCTTGTCTCGCTGTATCCATTTCTGGAGCTCGCTGACGTTCACGCGCCTCTCATTGTTCGCCATTGCGACTGTGTCTGCGTAACCCCATCTCGAAGTGACCATATATGGTCCTTCCCACTTTGGAAACTGTTTGCCTGACCCTGTCGAACATTCGTCCATACTTCGGCCGACACCTTCATATGCTGCTTTCGCCCGACCTCCCAGCAGCGTCTCAAGTAGCAGCTCCATCGCTGGCAGATCTTGAACGCCACTCAACTGCGCAGAAGCCTTGAAGTCCTGCCCGAAGATCCATATGTCTCCATCAAAAACTGCAGGGTATAGGCTTTTCATTTGTCGGTAGGCAGCGACACCAAATGTAACAACAGAAGACAAGGGCCAGGCAACAGATCGTTTTATTATGAAAATCAACACGTATTTATACATATTTCAGACAACATTATTATAGACAAGCGCAGTCATCTGATTGGTTGTTTAGGTAGACAAACGCAGGCTTCTGATTGGTTGTTTCGGGATTCCTTGACAAATCGAGTTCTCTCTGCGAATCACATTTTGCCACGTTAACTTAGCTGTGATTGGTTGTTGACTCAGTCTTGTTCATATTTTCTCACGGCCCATATTAGTGACCTAGACCTTAACGTAGATTAGTGCCAACCAATCGGCTAGCAGCCTGCTCTCACCACACTACCATTACACTTTGATAAATTACGGTTGTTTCTGAAAATTATACACTAATTATAAGGGATTTAGTCTTCTCACTCAGTCATGGATAGATTAAGATCGAGTGAATGCGTTTCATAGTCCAAGTAGAACCACTTCTGTTCACAGTTAGCATAAAAGTGGAAGAAGGAATAAGGTTACGAGCACTGTCAGTCTTCTGAATTTTATACATACATAAGGGTATGATAAAAGAAGGCTGTGCAGCATGACATCTTTTAGGTAACAGTACTGGGAGGATCGTCCCCTTTCTAGATGCTTGTGCACCAGTGTAGCCTGGTACTAATTATAACTAAGAACCATCATGATGTGAAAAACTAGTGTTTTACTGTGTTGCCACCAGTGTTCGTGGTCAGTGGGGTCTATCGTGTAAAGACGAAGTGGACGCTCACCAAAAGCAACGGTCAGTGGTAGCGTTATGTCGCTAGCTGACTAAGTTAGAATTCACGAGTCATTGAATTCCGGTCCAAGTGGCTGAGTAGTAAACGAGGTTGGCCTAGTAACCTAAACGTCCTGGATTCTATCTATAATGGGTGGTATGAACAAGTTGATAATGAACAGTTCCGAACAAGGATGAAACAGCTAACTAATACCCCTGGTTTTCAATGGTTCTGTTAGTAAAGTGTGTACATGGTCAATATTATATTCTATATTTGCTAATCATAGTTATTTTACATTACATTATACTTTTAAAGCTGTCAGTACAGTAATTTCAAATATCTATGAATATAATTAAAGCCTATCAAAGTTATTTTAATTGGTAGGTTAGATTCACTTATCACGTGTAATTGTGTACACACGCTAACCTTAAACTAATTTACATGGAAACTGTGTGCTCTGCTTCCACCTTATTCTATTAGCCTTAATCATGCTTTAAATATTTTTAATTTGGTAAGTGAAAAATTGAATCTTTTTAAATCTCAAAAAACTTTTCGTACTGTATATATGTTAGGTAAGTGCTAAATGATGCATATAACAACAAGGAACGTCATGGATTTCACTGGTTATTTATTCACTATGCAGAACTATAATTATTGCATAAATTTGAAGTGGGATACATAGGTTCAACAGCGCATCTTCCTGTCACTCTGTCTTTTATACCTGGCACAGTGAACACCTATAAGCTTTTATCTCCTCCACCATATCAACCTCGAAGCAGTGCCTAACTCGTCGTTTACTATTCAGGTTAAGTGTGTCGGTGGTATAGTGGTTAGGACGCTCGCTGACCATGCACATGGTCCAGGGTTCGATCCCCGGCCGACGCACTCCTTCACCTCGCTAAGCCAGAAAAAATACTGGTAAAGAGGAAAAATTGGGGATAAGGCTAGCAACCCCATCCTGTAAAATAAACACTGATACAGAAACTTCAAGCCACCAGCTTGAAGCCCTATCTTCCACTGGGGAACGTAAAGGAAAAAAAACTATTCAGGTTGCATTCTAGGGTATGCTTGGCGCGAAATATCACACAACGGTCTCTTCTGTATTCATCCATCTGTCATTATTCTGGAGGAAAACAGTTTTCACTGCATAATAGCCTTTCATCCTGACTTATTTTCTCATTACTTTCGTAATCTGAGTAGCCCTGCCAGCCAACTACAAACTTCGTGCGGATGTTCAGTATCCGCATGCACCTTTTTTGGCTTTTATCGGAAGAAGACACATAATCAGACTGGCTTCCTGATGTCATCCAGCAGCCCACATCATCTCCGAATCTACGGAATACTAAATACATTTTGTGCTTTGAAGTTTCTTTGGTGACTAGATTGATTTTTGGAGTAAGAATGCAAGCCTTAGGTCAAACCTCCCCTATTTTCTGGGCTTAAAGCCGGCTAGTAAAATAAGGAAGGTTACATCACGAATGTCTAAGAACTAACCCTGAAGTTAATCAGCAGGAAGCGTTACACATGCTAGTATGTTTACCATGGTGACTACAGAATCTTACTAAATTTCATATACCTAAATACCAATTTGCAGTAGACAAGCGGAAGTAAGCTATTTCTGTGGACGAAATATTGATTATTTCGAAAATTAACTTTTTGGTAGAACAAATATCATTTTCCGCCAGAGAATCGGAATGTGGGCGATGAAGCTACCACAGCACTTTTCTACATACCTTTGTTGAACATTAGACAGAAACCGTGCCGTTTTTAAATTCGTTTATGAATCACTTTTTGCATTAATTGATTACTACATTTTATATGCAGGATCATGTAAAGGCAAAAAGATTGTATTAGTATTGTTGAATTATCAGAATAATCAAAGTTCTGAGAGTCATTCTGTCAAATAGACATTAAGTAGTATTAACTGTAGGATGCAGCATTAACAACGGTATAATTAGTCATCATCATTCACATAAGAACAACTAAAAACAGTTAGAATAATGAATCAAGCCATCACATATACCTGTTTACTAGATAAGATATCAAATAGATGAACCCGTATGAATTAATGCTTTACAAACAAAATAAATGTGTGAACGTATAAAATATTTACAGATCTGCTTTGGTATTGCTGCTTGTAATGCAGTCACCATTCTACACTCTGAATTGATGTTAGTTTGTTTGAAATGAACGAAGCTACACACCTCTCAGAAAAGCGTAAGTCTAACTTCAATGGATATGATGTCCTCACTGAGTTTTGAACTCGTGTCACCCGATACTGCAGTCGACAGTCATCCAGAGTGCATCAAGATAGCAAGCCTTACTGATTGTTGTCCACATTACAAAGCTGACTGCTAGAACTCATTCTGCACTAACATGAAGGACTGCTGACTAATTTTTAATCAAAATAACCACTACAGTCAATAACCAGACCAAATGGCAGCAATGGGTTATCCGGGTTAGGATATTTGAAGGGAGATGAGTTCCTTGAAGATTTCAGATACGTCTTGCTGACTGGTGAGTGCAAACAAAAATGAAACCTAGGAATACAGCTTCCTTCTCAGTTCCTGTAACCATATGGCGTTAATTTTTCAACATATATTACATCACTTCAGTTAATAATTTGAATGTTCAAGTTGAAGTGTATCATAACCACTGTGTTCCGATTACTCATTTGAAAAATTCAGTATCATGAAGTAATAACTGGTTATAACAGTCAAATGATTACAGTTTTATTGAATGAGAGGAATACATTTCAAATACATATATATATGTATATTCATATGTTTTAAGGAACATATTGTTTATTGACCTTGTAAGTGTTGGTAATACTTAAGATAGACCTCAATTAACCGCACTTACTAAATACTTCTCCTCTTTATAACCTTATCAGTACTCTGCAACTAGCGTGTAAGTACTGACTAACGAAAGCAAAGTAAAAAGGCCTGAGATTGGAAGTGTGTTCCGAAGAGAGTTGTATTTTACACAAATGAAATGTGAATTTTTATAAATAAGAATCTTGTACACCTTCTCTGGTGTTTCAGTTGAGTAATAAGCTCGAAGAGTTCGCTGAATGGTAGCACAACAAGGGGGCAAACCACGTGTGTACAGTCGCGTCGCAAATCATAACATGGAGCGGCGCCAAAAGGTGGATGAATGCGTAAAAACAAAAATTCAAAGGTTCAAGGTACACTACAGCCTAATCAGTTAGCTTATTATGATAAAAAAGTCTAAAACAAGTCATCTATTGAAAACCGCAACTTAATGGCCTAGAAATGTTTCATCGAAAATCGGTGCTAAATACCGAAAACGAAAAGTGATACAAATACCACTGAGACATTGTGAATTTTACTTTTGTATGAGGTAATATTAGTCAGCACTTTACGATGGCTATAACAAAAGTGACGTGAAATGCATTTAACATTCATAAAAAGTTTTGATAATATATATTATTGCTTAGTACAGACACCAAAGTGGACATCTTTATCGGTTCGAGACGCGCTTTTTAATTACCTCGTGAATAAACCTCATGCAGGCAATGTTAAGAAACAGAACAATCGGTTCAGCGAAGTCTTCTTTCAGTTAATTCCTTTTTGTCTTTAGTTGTATAGTTGAATTTATATGCAGTTTTTCCACAAAAGAGATGAACTGTCATAATCACGATTGCTAACAATACTAATCAATACATAGTGAGTCGGTGGTATAGCGGTTAGGACGCCCGCCGACCATGCACATGGTCCAGGGTTCGATCCCCGGCCACAGACGCATCCCTTTACCTCGCTGAGCCAGAAATAATGCTGGTAAAGAGGGAAGGTTGGGCATGAGGCTAGCAACCTCATCCTGTAAAATAAACACTGCTACAGAAACTTCAAGCCACTAGCTTGAAGCCCTATGTTCCACTGAGAAGCGTGAAGGTAAAAAAAAATACATAAAACGAGAATAAGTGTATCAGAATTAATTAATAAAGTGAATAAGTTATTGAGTGAGTTCTATTTAGGATGCAAATAAATACGTAGGAAAATAAGGTATTGCGCAAGAGCTTGAGATAAACAAAAGAGAGAAAAGAACAAGCAGTCCAGCAACACATCTTTTCGACGACTTCATTCTCAAAAGCTGCACAATCGCATTTATATACATAAGTTTACATAGATACAATTGTTATTTTATATATATAAGTTCAAACCAAGTTCACTTTTAACAGTTTGAAAAAATTTGGGCATTGGGTATATGATATTCATTATAATAGAGGTTTTTGTATTTCCCAATGAATGAAAAACAAAACGATATTGTTTC